TGGTAGCGATTTGCTAATAAACCATCCGTGTTGCCAAAACAATAGGACAAGAAAAATTTATTAGGGCTTTAAACGCATCTTTTGTTCTTAAGAAGAAAATACTTAATTCATTCATAAGCAACATTTCATTCATAACTAAATTGAGCAGTCGGTATTTACCTATCAACATTTCCTTCGTAATATCCTCAATCGCGTGTTTGTTTTAAAGCATTTCTTGCGCATCTAAAGTACATTAAGGCGGACTACAAAAACAAAAAACTCATCCTAAGGAATGCACTATCCATCTTGATAGTGATTTAATATTGGGAACTTCCACATATTAGTCTAGCTATCGTCCCCGAAGTGTTAAAATATAATTATGGATTTTCCACTTTTTTCTCGGGCTAGAATAAAATAACACCTACCTAAACAAAGGTGTACTTGTAAATTGAGAAGAGGAAGTTGTAAAATAATTAATCCTTTGTCGAATGGCAGACATCAGTACAAATAATACTATAATTTGTTTATGAAAATAGTAAAAAACTGATTTACCTGTGTGCAAGTGATAACATGCTGGAAATAAGCATCCTGATGTATTTAGTTGTGATGGCGCCACAATAGATGAATGTGCAAATCGAAATATTTCTCACAAAAAAAAAAATTAAAAACCATTTTAATTATGCTACATACTCATAGGCATGAAAGCATTATACTTAATTCAAGTATAACACCCACAAAAAATAGTAATTTAAATCAGAAAATCGACCACAAATCGAATTAATTTAATTATTATTTAATCTTGCATGAAATAAAAGTTAAAAAATATTTATACAACATTTTTTACACTGTTTTTTAATCTTAGGTTTTAGTGTGGTAGGGGCTGACTAGCTTTTTAGTCATTTCAAATTTCCTGTGAAACAATAATTATTTTTTTTAGGTAATCCATCACATTAATAATTAAAAAATTCATTAAAACATCAAATGTTACCTATCAATGTTAACTATCTATCTATATCTATACCTATATCTACATCTATATCTATATTTATATATGATATATTTAATGTCCTCGTTTTACGCCATAATTAATATGAGAGAGATATGGAAATCAACTGGGAAGTTTTGGTCTAAAACATAATCTAGTGCTAGTCGTTGTTATTTTTGTAAATAACATTAAAATTATGTAATTAAATTATAAACACCTTATAAACCCTTTGATGTGACCCCTTCGTCAAATTTATTTTTTAAAAAATCTGTCATTTCAATGTTCAATAAAAAAAATAAAAAATCAAATGCTTTTCTATTAAATTACTTATATTAAAATAAGATATATATATATATATATATATAAGATATATAAGAATAACTATACAAATACCAATAACTATTATTCAAACAGAACTTTTACAAAAACATTAAGTGATACATCAATTATCTGAATTTACGTAACATGTTCCAAATAATTGTTCAATCCAAGAATTCTTTAAGCCGCGGCTTATTTTAATCTGGATGATTAAGTATCCTATTTGCTTTCAGTACACTACAAATTTCTTTAGAATTAAGCATTTCTTTAGAATTATGTATCAGATTAAAAAAAATATTTCCATAGGTATTTATATTAATTTAATTTGAAGAAGAACGGTCGAAAGTTAGGTAGTTGCAGCACGATATACATGAAACCACATCTAAAGAAAAGTACCAAATAGCGTCAGATTTAGAAGAAGGTCCTATGGCCCACTGGAGGAAATGGACAATAGTAATAGTAGTAGTAGTATATTTTTTGCATTATATTGAGATTTTCTCACTATGATCAAGATTTTGAACAATTTTTTTTTTATTGACTTTAAGTGTGAAATAAAATATATTATTTTAAGGTAATTTTCAATGACGACAAATAACTGACATTAACTCATGTTATATTTTCAAAGCATCTAGAGTTTCAGGATTGTCAGCCTAAAAAGTTCAGTGGTGCCGAACTTATTCTTTGACTTGTGACGTAGTCCTGTTGAAACCACATATCTGATTCATCTATACCTATGTTTAATTTCACGTCATAAAAATTGATAATCTTTTGAAAGTAACGAACAGAATTTAAAGAAATATTTAATGGTGATCTTTTATTATTTTAATAAATTAGCTGTATCGAAAGATGTAATATACTTATGAAATCTAATTTTAATATTAATTTTTTAGATAGAATCTTAAGTATATAGATTATTGCGATTAAAATTTGGCACAGATTTACTATAGGTATATAACGTGTAATTTTTTCTCTTCTTTACTATATGATTAATATTAATTGGTATTAGTATATATGCTGACGAGTTCTATATCTTCAAAGGCATAAATGTCGAATTAAATAAAACATAATTAGTGCATTATTTTTATTATTTTTTATGACTTTAGTGAAAATAATAAAAGTACACCGAAAAGTTTATAAACGTTTCATAATGATAGATTGTTTTCAAAGTAATCGATCCTAAGTTTTTCGAATAATGTTGACTTTCTTCGAATTATATAAAATTCTTTTGAAGTAAAAAAAAAATTTCATTTCTCTAAAAACGATATCATTTCCCATATTTTGTAGATGGCTTCATAAATGCTGCAAATTATAAGTCCCTATTCATATTTAGAGTAGGGACATATAAATACAAATTAATATATAAAATAATATAAATTATAAAACTTATCTAAAATACTCTAGACTTACAGAAGTATATAACATCTTTTCTACACCTACCATTCCTGTTGTGGTGTGAATACTGAATGAATTATATCACCACTGCTTGCACAACTACCGCTAACATATCATAATATGTCATTAATCTAAATTCTTGAACTTAAAAAATTATTAAAATTCCTTTAAAAAATTCATCTTTAGAAAAAACATAATTTATAACCATTCGATAGCAAAATGGATGGGTCAGGTCTACAAAGTGACATAGCCAATCGCGCTAAAATCAATTGAATTTCACGAAACTTTGTATTGAAAATAGTTATACTGGTTCATTGATTTAATTGCTTAAAAGACATTCCTAATATTTATTTATTTAAATATAAATTAATAAGTTAAAGCTTGTAATAATTGAGAAGTACATAAAATTCTACATAAGAAATTAGAAATGCTTTCTTAACTAATTCACATACACTTATACTTATGCTATATTCTTTTTTATATTATATGTATATTGTTGAAGCCGTTAAATTTTAATATCAAACGCCACAGGCCTTATAAGGCGTTTTAAAGGATAAAACATATCGCAGCTGGAAAAAATGTGAGAACGGTTTCTGAATGCTATTGAAGGGAGCATTCGAAAACGCACTTTTACGCAAATCATAAATCAAATTAGTTTCTCAAATGAATGCACTCGACTAAATCAGCGGAATTGATACTAAGGGCCATTTTGAAAAGGATGGCTTCTGCTTCACAGTTGCTCATTTGAGGAAAACTTGAATTTCACACAAAAGATACAACAGTGAAGGGTAGCCGGCAAGTGTTCATACAAATGCATGTATACGCACAGATATATATACATTCATTTATGTATGATTGTATATAGAAACACGCGCTTTCTTACATTAACAAAGACAAACTGCAAATTACGTGGCCAGATATCGATTAAAATTTATCCCGTGGCATGCCGCACACTCAATCGCGATTGTTTTTGGTTAGATGTCGCCGTCGTTTAGACCCATAAAAGCAATAAATGACAGTGGAAAAACCAACCCTGGCACGGTAACCGACACATTGTCAACAGACAAACAATACCAAAACAATTCAAAGTGAAAACATTTATTTTAACTACAATATTCGGATTGGAAACTAAAGGAGAATTCAAAATCCTCAATATAAAACCTAAAATGAAAACCTTATAAAAGATAACCACACAAATAATGACGGCACCGCTGATAAGTGTTAAAATCTATTTGTATCTGATGAAGAACAACCATAAAAAACCACATAAAAACACTGAATTTGGCGCGATCGTACTTATGATCCACTCACTAAATAATACACATATATAAGCATATAAAAGAATCCTTGATTCTTTTCAAAAATAAATATAAAAAGAAAAATATTTTATGTGGCTCGTGATTGTGAAGAAAGCGAGCAACAGTGTGCCTAAAATATGACCAAGGATGACACGCAGCTAGGACACATCTGTACCACAAAACAAAACGCTGGCCAAAATCTGTTACTGTGATAAATATAAATTAAAAATGATATTAAAAATATTTTGTGTATCGTCCTAATTATAAAGGAAGATAAGCACTAGAGTGCTGCTGGCCTCTGCTGTAGCCTGGGTGTGCTCATATGCTGCATTGAAATAAGTAGGGTTGTTTCTAGGCGTTATGATGCTGACATTATACAGGAAATTGATGTTGTGTGTGTAAGCAGATGCAGAAAGCAAATGGCGCTTCAAGCCCCGCCTTCCTTTTGAGTCTGAGTGCTACTTGACGATATTGCAGAAATCGTACCGGCATACGCTACTTAATTTTAGCAGTCTTATAATACGAATAAATCTACAAACGATATTAATTTTATAGGAATCTATCTTCTTTGAAAAATAATCTCTTATCTCTGACTCTTATTATTTATTTGTATAAAACTCCAATAAACATTTTTAGCTTGTGCTCTGTAGTTCTTAAATATGATTTTGACTATTCATTAAAATAAAATTCACATCCTTCCTTACATTCTACTCATAAATTCAATATTTAATCTATTATCTTTGTTTCATGTATGTTGCAAAAAAAAACTTAACCTTAATCCGATCATGTCAATAATCCGCTTGTAATTCGTTTCATTCATTTAAATTGAAAATTGGTTCAATGATTTAATAGCATAGTGTCCAGTGCCAAATACTCATTGTCCAGTTCTCATTGCCTCACACCAGTTCCAGAAAGCAAAGGCCAAA